AAGCCAAAATCGTGTGTGGTGCAGTGAGTGCATGAAAAATGGCGTTCGCGAGTAATCGAGTCACAAAGGGTTCACCTAAGGCTGTTGATCCTATAGGAACTCAATTTCGGGCCCTCTACATGTTGGTCCTGAGCACTTGCACCTAAAAGTTGAGTGCTTGGAACCACTCATGAGAGTTCTTCACAAAAATGAGTCAAGAAGTGGCTTGAAATTCTACGGAAGGTGGGCTCCATCGCTAGTCCACTAGGATGGTCAATAAGAACTCCTAAAGCTAGATCCTAGGTTCTAAGAGTAGGAGACTAAGACCTCACTAAAAATGAGGTCAACAGTCTTCTTCATTTTATCAACCATTTTTATTATTGTTGTAACCTCCTCATCCAACATCAGCTTATGTCAACCATCTTCATCTAGCATTTTCTCACATGCTTCAACATTTGAATGTAAGCAAGCCAAGTGATCTTTAAGTCTTTTAACACCACCAATACTTCACTTATCACAAATTTACATTTCAAACAAAAATATTCTGTTTTTGCAGCTTCTACTGCCACTTCAATTTGAGTCCCATATTTTTAAGTTGGATTTTTTCTTCTTGTGCCACCACCTACTTTAATTAACAAAAAGAATAATAATTCCATTCAAAAAAAAGATAGTGAACTTTTTAATATAATATTTTTGGAGTAGGAAAGTACACACATAAGATATTTTTGTTGATAAGTATATTTGTTAAAAAAAACATTACGGTTGCATAAAATAAAATTAATAAATTCAAGTAATTTGCTCTAAACTAAAACTAAAAAACAAAATAAGTTACGAAAATAAAAAAGGATAATTGCATACATTGCACCCAAAATATTGTTATTTGATATTTTTGAACTATCGAACTGATATATTTATGCATGTCATAATTAAACCATTGTAATTTTGATAAAAATGAAAAATATGCGTTGGGTTTGTAACATGAATTTTTATATTTGAGTGAGAATTTGAGAGATGGATGAAAGAAGGTGCTACATTTGTAAATAGCAATGTTTTGGTGCTATGTATATAATTGCCCCAATAAAAAATATATCCTCCATTGCCACAAGAAAGTAAATAAAAAAAAGCAATACCAAATAAATAAAAAATGATCATTTACATGCTTACCATTACATAGTTCTTATGTGTTTAGTATTTACATATCTAACAATCATATTTGCCTGCACTTCTTGAATACCCAATATTTTATTAGTATAACCAAAATACAGTTGAGGGGGGTTGAAATTCTATATAATTCTCATCTTTATTCTTACTGTAAGAAAAAAAGGGCCATATACATACATATCATGCAATTCTTATGTTTCCTACTAGTGTCAAAAAAAAAGGGGTCATTTACATGCATACCATACAATTTTTATGTTTACTGCTACTGTTAAAAAAAAATACAAATAAGCAGAACTTGTAACAGATAAGAGGAATAAGATGTACAATAATAATTTGAAATTAAACCTGGGAAGTGGGAAGCTGCGAGATAATTACTAAGTTATTTTAGACAAATACGAAGTGAGGCAACAGGAGTGCTGCGAGGCTGGGACTGGACTTCGACGTTCAATGCTACTAGGCTTCGATTTGAATTTGATGCTCGACAGAGATGAAACAGAGCAATAATTCTGTGAACCTTGGATGGGACTTTGATGCTCGACGCTATGAGGCTTGGATGTGACTTTGCTGATCGATAGAAAGATGAAGTTGAAGCAGAGATTCTTCATCGAGCTCTGGACGATGCTCGAAGTTGCCAAGTGAATGTTGGGCTCGTCGACGCACGAAGTAAAGAAATGGAGAAGCGAATGTAGAGCTCGGGACGACGCTTGAAAACGAACCCTAACATTGATTGTCGTTTGCTGTTGTTTGAAAATTACCTTGAATGCTTAGGAGTAACTTAAATGCCTTAGGCCAAATGTCTCCAGGCATACGCCTTGTTTAATAAAGAATTTTCACCCCAAGGACCGGGCTCAAGCCTCGAAGCTTTTGAGGAGCACCTTGAGGCGGACGCCCTGAGAGATTACTTTTTTTTTATCCTCAAAAGAAATCTGCAAGCTGTGAGACTGAAATGTGCATTAGAAATTTCATAAAATTTTTTGAAACCTGAGTTTGCCGCATTTATTTGAATTGCATCCTTTACGGCTTCGTTTTTCCATCACTTGTTTAGCACACCCTGCACTTTTGATTTCTTTTTTTTTAGCTTTCCTGTCGTAATTTTCTTTCTCAAAGTTTTCTACCATTATGTTTTGTTTGTCGAGGTTATTTGTGTGTGACTGATGATGTTAAAAATTCTTTCTGTATAATTATTGCTGTTATTCTAGTCCTTATGCAATTTGTTTCTCTCAGGTGCTTACGTTTGATATACAAGTCATGGCCTGCCTTTATGCAGTTCTCTTTGTTAGGAAATGAAAGTGATTATCGTTATCACAAAAGGAGGAAGATTCCTCCAGATGAGGATGAGAGTCCTACACTTTTGTCTTCAACAACTGCATTCCAAGGACAAATTATGTGGAGACTAAAATATTTTCAGTGCGTTTACGAAGCCGGTGATTTACATGCTTTTGAAAAGGCCAAAGGATGCTTGCATTCTTTAAGGATATCCCTTGGAGAGCTTCAGAATAAAAGTTTGTTTCCCTACGATTGTAAACCTCTTCTCAAAAGGTCTGCAATTCTTTGTGTCACCATGTTTGCCCCTTTTTAAGCTGTTTATTTGTAATGATGCCTTATTTCAGAATTCTTTATCTGGATCAATGATTATGTGCGGCATCCAGCATCAGTTTCCATGTTCCTTCTGTTGGAATGAGTTTGGTACTGTAAAATTTATAGGAAAGATGTCATGGGCTATTGTTGTTTTACAATTTTGTTTCATCACTTCTTTGCTGTGAATATATTGAATTGGGTAGATTTAATAAACTTTTGTCCACCTTAGCTTGTATATGTAGGTCAATGATTCGTCCTTATCTTCCACTGCTCGGCTTTGATTTTTACCCTCGTCTTTGTCATCGAGTGCATTGTCTGAACTCTTTTATAGAGACTAAAGTTTGTCGACTAGCATTGCCCAAGTTGTACCATGTATTGTTAAGACTATATTTGCCACAATATAAGCAGTAGCATTAGTTTATATTCCTTAAATTCTTATGTTATGTCTTGTATATAAGAGGATTTTGAAGTCGTAAACTAGAGCCACATCCATCGGTGTAAATCTAATTTCTTCTGTTTGGGAAATGATGCATTTGCAAATGTGAAGATAAAAAAAGCCCGGATCCTGGTCTCTTCCTTCTTAAAATCCTGGCGTTGTCTAAAACGCTTTGATTGTGGCTAAGTTTAGGTGACTAGCATTGCCCAAGCTGTACTACTGTATTGTTAGACTGGTATTTCCGGAATATAAACAACATCATTCATTAATATTCTTTGTTCACTTGCTTTTATTATGGCTTTCATTAAAGAGGAATTTATCCATAGGAGTTAATTAAGTTTTTCAATTTTCTTATTGACGTGCATACAAAAGTTAAGATAAAGAAACTAGGATATCAATTTATTTCTTTTATAGAACATGAATGATATGAAAGAAACAATTAATCATATATCTTGGTCCTAAAATTAATGAGATTTTCTAGTTTTTGCGTGCAAAAAAATTTGTGACAATGCAGATTAAGAGTTTTTAGCTTGTATGAGTATCCCACTCACGCAAATAAGGATGTATGAAGTTCCCGACTAAAGATATCATAGAGATTTCTTTGGACAAAAATCCATAGAGGGAAAAATCACTGGGTATTACCTCATAATAAATAAATTCACTAATCTTAATTGTATCTTATGAAGTCACCAAAAGACGGAAGTATTATGTAAAAAACTCAATTGGGGATAACCTTATGATATGGTCTAGGGCTCCTGGAAAGGTATTTTGGGGCGAATTTAGAGGGAAGGTAGTTTTGGAATAGCAAAGGAAAGATAATATGGGTGTTTTTTGGTGTTTGGAGAGGGATAAATGACGTTCGGCTGCTGTCCCAACTGAAAATAGCAGTTCAAATGGGAGAAGAACGTGATACGGAGGTTGAGCAGACGCTATCACCTGTTCCTAAGCAAGATATAGACGCACCGCTTTCAAAAGGAAAGGATATGACACTAAAGAACATAAATGATTCTGAAGAGCAGAAATCGGAGAAAAGTCCTCAAATTCATAAAATCAACAAAATTGAAAAATCCAAAATCGTAATACTACTTATATAATGGTCCCTCAAGAAAATAACCTAAGTTGAAACTAGAGATATAGGAAAGAACGAAAAGTTATATGGAAACTTGCAATAAAAATAAAAATAAATAAATAAAGATTGTTTCTCTGGCCTTTTCCTGCGATCACGAGAATAATTGTGATCCCAAGTTAAGTTGGGTTTTTCACGATACTGCAATAGTAGGCATGACGCCCAGGAGAAGTTGCTTCTTCTGTGGAAATAATTGGATCCTACCATCTAATGTTATTTCCCATAAAACACTTGCAGAGATTTCCAAAGTAGCAGTTCAACACTCTTATCTGACCATTTGTTCATGATTGCACCATTGAACTGAATTGAAATTCAGTATCCGACTTATTCAAGGCCTTTCAGAAATAGCTCAATTTTCTCATCTCTATCTGAAGTGACAATATGTTGGATCACTTTCAATGATGATTGTCTTGTGTCTGGTATCAGTTTCTCAAACTCATCATCTTTGTTGGACAACCAATGTTAGTCCTACTTGTGCTTCTCTCAAGACATATATTCGTCCATTGCTTTAAACTCGCTACCTTCTAGGACAACCAATTTTAATCATGTTGGAGTCTCTCTCATGGGATCAACTTGAATCAGTAGCAGCTCTTGCTCATCAGTTGCAAGCTAATACTCCTCTCCATTCTCCTCCTTTAGTCTGAACCCTTTGCCTCTTCCACTCTTCCCTCCTGAGTGAAAGACATCAAACGATCATTAACAAGCTTTAACTGAGCTAATCTACAAGTTTCTTATTGATCATTTGCGGTCTAATCAGTCGACATTTGGTGAACTTGAGAACAATAGGATTTTTTTCAACGGTTAGAAAATTAATTGAAACTTTAGAATTCTATTTGATGCTTAAATGCCTCAAGTTCACATATTGAAAAAATAAGAATTAAAGCTTATTTATAGATTTCTTATTTGGGGGTGGGGTTTGATTTGGCCCTACTATGAAATTATTTAAGAATTTTTGGATTCTTATTAGGGTGGTTTAAACTAAAACGTCGAAACAAATCTAGCATATTTGATTGATTTGATTTGGTTCTTAAAATCATGATTTGATTTTTGGTTTTAAATTGAAGATTATTTTTATTATGCTTATTGGTTTGCTTTGGAAAAAAAAAATCTAAACTATTTTCCATTGATCTAATTTGTAATAGTAAATTCATTAAGCAATCTATTCGAATTGACTGAATGCACAACTCTATAATAGGTTTTCAAGTTTTGGTTAAACCAAAGTTAAACAAAATTAACTAGATTATACTGTTGTTTGGTTCGGTTCGTTTTTACATATTATTTTTGGTTTTTTCAGTTTTATCTTTATTTGGATCAGCTTAATTAGTCTAACAAAGCTTAACCAATCAAAGTGAATCGACTAAACGTACACCCTTGTTGTTATCAATAATGGGCAAATTAGATTGTGCCCTCCACCAAACAAAAATTATTTGAACAATTGTGCTCGTGGGTTGTTCTTATTGTACTGTCTGAATTGCATCCGAATTGATTGGCCAATCTATATTTGATGGCTATGATTCGATAATGGTGCAACAGTGACCGACAACAATGAAGTGTCAAATCAGTAAATGGAAGATATCATTGAAGTCTCAGACCAATAAATGAAAGATATCATTTCAAAGTTCTTGATGATGCAGGTGTAATGGAGTTTATAAATTGAAAATGTAATCATCAGATCATTTGTAACATGATTCAAGGCATAGATTATTTTTTATTATCATTGAAGAGCAATGATGAATGGGCATAATACTGACATGGATTTTTTCTTGCAATGAGAACAAACCAACTTTGCTGATAGTTTGAACAAGCCACAATAACTTCGAGAATGCATAACGACTAGGATATTTGCTACTTTAGAAGGCTTGTGGAGGGGTTAGGAAGGTCTCATGTAAGCGCTTGAGAGCCAAGAGACTTGTGGTCAAGAATATTATTTATAGGTAGTTATGATACTAGCGTGACATCAATACTCCACAAAATTGTTGCCACGTTTTCAAAACTTATGCTTTTAGAGTCATAAGTTTATCTTATGCAAAAGAAGTATCACAGCGTGCGACAATGACAATATTAGAACCCAAGATTAAACATTAAACAATGAAATTATCAGACAAGCTTTGATGATGGTTCCTGTTCGCTAAGTACACAATAAAGTTGTATTACATCATCTCCAACAAATTTCTGATTATTTTTATTAAATATCTTTGTCAGGCAAGCATGCTTGTTATGATAATTGATAAAAAAACAAATTGTAATCTTTTATTAACAAGAAGGGAGAGGAATTAAGGCTGTCGAGAAAAAAAAGAAAAGGAATCTAAAGGATTTTGACAAAAGTAATTCAATAAACTCTTCTTCTGGAAGTTTTCTCTTTGATGGGTATTACTAGATCTTGGGGCATTTTAGAGTAAAATTTTAGAAGCTTTATATGTATTTTTTATTGGAAAAGAATGCTACTACTACTGTATTAAACGAGCTTGGCTTGATTAAGCCAAATCTCTCACAAATACCTTTAACTCAAATGAGTTTAGAAGACTTGGCAATGCAAAAGGATTACAACGCAAATGGTGTTTATAATAAGAATATGCATCAGAATGCTGACTTGATGAGCTTATCATATAATCAAAATTTACTGAGTTTTGATCCTTCAGTCAAGAGACAAACTCCCAATTCTTGAGAATAATTTTGTTGGGAAGATGGGCTTGATGGCCATGATAGAATACTTCTGGAGTAAAGCCTATTTCCTGAAAATATGACTTAGCGAGGAAGAGAACGATTCATTCTTTTCTAAATTTAGACATTTCATTAAATAATGACAAATTTTATTAGAGTATGCACTGCTCTTTAGCCTTGTTGAATGTGATCCAAGGAAATGCTAGGAGGATTTTTTTTTATGTCAATTATATTGTACTCTCCAATGCTTTCAAATTGGCATGCGTTTTGTGTTTTTGACCTGCACGACTTATGCTAGCTGCACAGTGCAAATGTATTCTAAATTGCGTGATTTTTGTCACTTTAGATTTGTCAGAATTGTAATTTAGATGCTAAATGAAGCTTCTAAATTCAAATTTGAGTGATTTTTTTAATCCTAAAATTTGCAGGAAAATTATTGCTTAACCAGGTTGATTTTTCCAGGCATATGACTAATTAGTTAAGTTTCGAAGTTCCTAGCTTGGCTTCTTATATTTTGTAGTAGCACTAACTTGCACTTTGTTTACAGTCTGGACAGGTTTCTGGAGCTTACATGACGTATCATCTGCAACCAGACATAATGGCAAATAGTAATTGGGATGAAAGTTCTTGATTTGTTCAGTAGTACGTACGAGGAGAAAACATGAAATCAGCTCAAAGGAGTTCTCCTCGCTATGAGGCTAAGGTTCTTTGAAAGCTTTGCATTCAATTATTTGCACAAGGTACCTTAACAATAGTAACTTTTACACACCTCACTAAAATGATCTTTTCAGGTGCCATTGACATTTCTGATTCTTGACGTGCATGATAAGAGAAAGAAGTATCCTTATTGGATTATTTCTATTTTGCACTTTGAACAAAAATATTTGTATGTGAAGACATGCAATTATTGATATGTTCAGTAGTAAGAGGAGAGAGGGCATTGCATTGCGTTATGCACGCAGCACACTATACAAGTTAAAAAAGGAGGTGAGTGTTGTTACCTATCACTCATACCATTTTTTTACGTATATATGTAGTGTTAGATTGTAATTGGATCAAAGTGGTTTTGATGTATGATCTGACCTAAAATTTCACATTCACATTGGAAATTGAGTAGGATTAAGTCAATATGATTAAATTAAGATTAGATTGGCCTTTTTTCTAAGATCTCACATGACAAAATAACTTGTTTTTATTTTTTAATGTAACACGTAACTATTGAATCAAAATTCAGATTGGATTAGGTCAAGACCCACCCATTGACGATGCTAATGCTAATGTTAGCTAACCAAATAATTTACATTTATTATAGAACGAACAAGCAGCATCACAGAAAAGAATGAGAGCAAATCAAATAATTTCTAAAGGCACTTTAAATTGGAAGATCATGTTTGGTTAATTTGTTTTATATTGATTTCTAGAATGTAATCCTTCCTACAGTTAAAATGCTACTATACATGGATTTTTTATAATATGACATTATTTATTGTCATTATTATTGTTTTACTTTTTAATCATCGATTCCTTATTTGTTTTGAAGGGAATGTGGAACACTGGATAAAAATTTCTACCTAATGTCTTTATGATTAGGGTGTAAAACCCTTGACTTTTTCGAGGGCTTCTCATTTTGAAGTTTGTCTCAATTGACAAGTGACACTTATCTAGGGTTATTAGATGGTGTAAGAAGGTCAAGGGGTGAGTTAGGAGAGTTGTAGGAAGCAGTTGGAGGGTAAACTGAAGGTTGTAGCTGGAGATTCAACGCAACCAATGGCTGGACAAAAGTCAGATAACAAGTGCAGCGGGCTTGCAACGAGGGTTGGCAGCATTGGAGGTTTGTCGAATGTCCTGGAGAGATTATCACTCAGTTCCAATCGTGTTGCAATCATACCTGAGAAAGATCAATGATACATCTCTTTGTTAAAAAGAAGTTAGATATAACCGTCCCTATTGCATAAAACCAAAGAAGACAATTCCCAAATCAATCCATAATAAATATATCAATAGTTCCCAAACAAAATAATTTAGTGTAAGTGTTAATTTAGGAAAAAGAAGCTAACGGCACTGCCCCCCAACACTATGAGGTTGGAACCTGAACCGACAACATATAAATCAAAAAATTTGGTTTTTGAGATTCCCAACCCCTTCTCGCATCCTGCGTACCGTGTTATTCTCCTAAGGTATGAGAGGCTTTGCTTGCATCATCAAAGGTAGTTGGGTCCTCAACATAAGGTGGTAAATTAGCAATGTTGAAGGTAACATAAATGTAATTCTCTGGTAAATCAGTCTTGTATGTATTATCATTAATCTTCTTAGCAATCATAACTGGATCGTGAACTTTGGCTTTGAACTTCCTAAAAGAATATGTCAGAAATCTCTCATTATTCAATTGGATTCAATACTAAATCACCTTCTTTAAAGACCTCAGTATTTCTTAATTTTTATGTCTGCTTCTGATACCTAGCATTTTGTTTAGCAATCTTTATTGTTACTGTTCATGCAAGGCCTGAATTTCCTTTAATCTGACCTTTGCATCAGTGCTAGGCTCAATGATGAGGATTCCTCCGATAAACTACCTGAATGGAGTTGTCACATGTAGACGGACGGGTGGAATGGCTATAAGCAAACTCAACATGGGGAAGATCAAGTCCAACTTCTTGGTATTCCTGCCCACAAAGCATCCGAGTCGGTTACGTAAACTATTATTCATCACATTTGTTTGTCCATCTGTGTGAGAGTGAGCTACTGAAGCTTTGTACCAAGTTTATCTCCTATGATCCTAAAAAATGGCTAAAATATTTCATGTCTCTGTTCGATATGATGGTTTTGAGCATACCATAAAGACTTAAACATCTTCCTGAGATACATTTCTACAATATCTGAAGCATCAACTGTCTAATGGTAATGTACAAAATTTGTCATCTTAGAGAAATTTTCCACTCTTACCATAACTGAATCGATTCTTCATTGGCTTTGTATGTGACCCACAATGAAGTCTATCCTCACATCCACCCAATGTAACTTTGGAACATGTAGCGACATATAGAGACTTTATTTTGCCCCCAATTCTTAGCTAGATGACATCTACACTGTGTGTATGCATCTCCACATCCGGTATTAATCTAGGCCAATAGAAATCCTCTTTCATCAAGAAAAGAGTGTTGTCTGCCAAAATGCTCTGTCATTTTGCCATTGTGTCATTCTTGTAAAATATAGTTCGTGAGAGCAATCCTTCACATATACAGTCTATTCTAGTAGAAAAAGTAGCCATTTAATCTTTGGAACTACTCATATGGTATATTCTGCTAATGAGACCATTTCTCTTGGAAATCCTTGTTAGTTCATATGTATAATTTAACACTTAAAATTCATCTACTTTTGACTGCATGATAGTGATAAACAAGTGACGACGGCTCGGTGCATCTGCTAATTTTTTTAACTAGCTTTATACTTGAGCATAAATGAAACAAAGATATATAGGAACTCCACCCAAGAGGCATGTCTACTTTTTAGGTTGCTTTGACTATTTAGGAACCTCAAGGTTTTATAATTAGTGTAAAGGGCGAAGTCATTTGCCAAGAGCTAGTAACTCCAATGATTGAGCACTCTCACGATGACATAAAACTCCTTTCGTAGTTAGAGCTCTTTCTTCTGGAATCATTCAATTTTTCTTTGAAGAAAGCAGTAGGATATTCTCCTTGGACTCATCACAATGCTAATTGTTATAATAGATGTGTCACACTCCATCTTGAACACGTGATTAAAATCTAGAAGCACTAGGATCGAGGCTTGAGTAATCTCTCTTTAAAGCTTCAAAGCTGATTTATGCATCACTTGACCAAGTGAATCTATTTGACTAAGAAACTCCGTTAAGAGCATTGTAATAGAGCTGAAATTTATAATAAACTTGCAAGAAGGCATCGGTCCATGAAAATGACATACCCGAGTAAATAATTGTGTTATTGGCCAAGCCATAAGAGCTTCACTAGGTTCATCTCCATGCCGACAACTGAAACAATATACCCCAAGAAGCATGTCTACGGTGTAAGAAAGTGATGCTTCTTTAAGTGACCATACGAACTCTAAAATCTATCACAAAATTGCAAATACTCCTCTGAATGATTATACACCAAAATGTCTTCAAAGTATACAACCACAAATTTTTCAATGAAGTCTTACAAAATTTAGTTCATTGGTTGTATAAAAATGCTTAGTGCATTAGATATATAAAGGGGCATGACTGTCCACTCATCAATTCATCTTGTGTCTTGAAAGTTGTCTTCCACTCATTTCCTTGTCTCATTCTAATTTAGTGATGGTCAATGCGCAAATCAATCTTGGAGAATCTATTTGTTCCATACTTCCATGTAATTGATCTAGCAAATCTTCCAGTTCTTGAATGAAAAATCGAATATTTGATGGTGATTTTGTTTGCAGCCTTACTATCAATTCACTTGCGCCAAAAATTATCCTTCTTTGGTGCAATCCATGCTAGAAGTCCACCTAAATTAGCTTTCTCACACAAAAAGTCTCTTACAATCAAGTTTGTAACATGCTTGTCATATTTGGTTGGGTGCATCGTGTAGGCAGGTTAGTTTGGAAGAACAGATCTTGTGATGAAATTTATGGCATCTTGGATCTCTGTCAGTGGTGACAACCCTAGAGGTAGACTGTCAGTCAAGAAATTCTAAAACTCTTTCAGTAGAGGTTTTACTGTGATATCGGCTTCTTAGAGAAAGTTTTCGAGAACTGCCAATGGTAGACCTACTTGTGCTTCTCTAAAGGTTTGTAGAATGATACATCGTGGTGTTATCATCTCAGACTCAGTATGAATGTCAGTTAACTCGGACTCCTTTCAGGATAAGAGTACAATATGATTAGCATCCTTTATGAATGAATAGATGTTCTTGTAATCTTCATGACGCGTGCATGGTCGCACTGCCAGCCAATAGGATATGATCCATAAGTATCACATTACATCACACATAATCTTTAAACTTTTCTTCGATAGAGAATTTCACTAGGATCTCCTATTAAAAGTGATCCTATTCTCTTTCTTTAACAAGACATGGAATGTGGGTAGTTATGCTTCGTCTGAAGATTCAACTTGTTTATCAATTGAGTAGATACCTCGTTCTCATAGTTGTTTCCATCAATGATAAGATGACACACCTTTTCTCTCATGGTGTAATGGGTATAAAATATGTTGTGGCAAAACTATTGTTGCTTTCCCTTTAGCTCAGTTTAAAGAACCGCCAAACGCCTAAACACCTCATTGGCGGGAAATTGATACTCTTTATTGGCATTTTCATTTTCTCTTGGGTCTCCAGTGTCACTGTTCATATCTTCCATTGTTTCCTGCTCGGTGAAAAAGGCCACTCTCTAGTTTAGGCACTCATATATTAATGCCTAAAGTCGTGACACTTTAATCACTTTCTGGCCGCGTAGGGCTTGTGGGTGCTAGTGGCCCCTATCTTTTCTCTACCTTGTGCTAGTTTGTCCTCACGAGGGTAGACTTGGGTGCTAGTTTGTCCTATGATTAACTGGAATGACCTCCTTATGTTTTGAAGTTTGCAAAATTCTTATTTTGGTCTTTCATACCTTCAGTGGAAAGAAACGTGGTAGTCTCGTAGGAAGAAATAAAGGATGGCGTGAAGTATTGGGATTTGTCATTAATAGTGTATACTATCGGTACAATAGGCTCTTCCCAATTGTTACATCTGCATGGAAAACAAAGGTAATCTCAAGATGCTCTCCTTCAAGAATGCCCTGATTTAGAGGTGGGAAAGCATAGTTTTGGAGCATATTCTCCATGGGTAGGTAAAGAAGAAGAGGTAAAATGGCAATGGGAGGGTTTGGAGAGGGGCGAGGAACCGACAGTGGCCGATATCCATCTAAAGAGGCAAACTAAGGAGCACTATGGTTATTCATAGTATCGTTATCAAAGCGTATTGTGATTCTTAAGGCTTTATTTTTACTTAAAATTGCGAAGCACGGAGCAAAGAGACGCTTTTATTAAGCAAAGCGTTAATATGCTATACAAAATTATTAATATATAAATACATTCGTTAATAATTATTAAATATGAATTATGAACGAGAAGCTGATATAAAATTCCAAAAACTATTGTAGAAGTTTCAACTTAAAGGGAGAAATTGAGGGTAATATATAAATTAAAAATTTAGAATAATATCTAATAATTTGTTGTAATAATTAAAAACTTAAAATTATAAAAAAAAAACTTATAAATTAATTTTGGCACAAGCTCATGTCATGCGCTTCACTTCATTTTGCTCGCTAAAGCTCGCTTCAAAGCGTGCTTTCACATTAATTCATACCAAAAGCGAGAAAGGAAGAGATGACTGCGCAAAGGTCAAGTGGATAGAACCTTGACAAAGCCCTTCATTACTCTAGCGGCGACTCTACTAGGGCTGCCGTTGACAGTGGGAATTTGATCACCCCTTCCCACAATCCAGTTGGTGAGTTTTGCAGGTGATATCTTTTTTATCTTACCTTGCCATTTTATGAGAATAAACGAGCAAATCTTTACTGAAGTTTTGCCCAAAATTAATTTAAGGATTGAATTGAAGTCTTCCCAACGAACAAAAAATACTAAAAAAGTTAATAAATAAATAAAAACGAATGAAAATGTATAGGGAGGCTGGTCCTGCATTCTAGATTAATTATATATAGAATAAATTTGAAACAATTAAGAGTTTCCAAAGAAAAAAAAGAATTTTCTGGGGGAAATATGAGGCCGAAGGGTAATATGCGTCATTCGAACCACAATCTCACAGTAGGAAATTACACCCTCAAGTATTATATCGCGGGTAAGTATGTAATTTTCCAGTATTAATTCATCATATAAACTTCATCCAAACTTGCAAGTTGCAATAATTTTTCTCATGTCGTTATTTCCCACCCATAAATGCCTGAGAATGTGTTGGCTAAAAATATTTATGATTGTTGCATGTGAAAGATTCACAGTGATAGAGTGATATTTAATGTTTTAACATTGCATAAAGATTCAATACACATACAGATAATAGAAAAATAACAAGAGGTGCATTACGATTTTTTATGTAGAATAATATTGAATTTTTTTTTAAAAAAATCACAGGACCTAGCCTAGTCAAAGCAATCTACTATATGATCGTAAGTGTATAGGTCCACTCTTCTCCATAAGAGAAGATGAAATTACAATGTTGATAATTACAAATGTATAATAGTTATCCAGCTTTAATAACCATAATTGGGTTACAACTTGGTGATAATAGCGTTGGTGGGCAAAAAAGAGTGTAGTTGATTGCTACAAAGATAAATTGTCATAAAAATTGTAATCGGTGGCTGCAATAGCATTAGGTGGTCATGAAGGCCATAGTTGAAAATGATAGTAGCAATTGACCATGTAGGTTGTAGTTGCCCACATAGGTCGTGGTTGGTAGTTACAGTAGCATCATTTTGCCACAAATGTTATAGTTAGAAGTTGTAATATCAATTAATTACATAGGTCACAATTGGTAGTTGCGGTAGAAATTATCTACGTAGGTCGTAATTGGGCATATTGACCGTGGTTGGTAGTTGCAGTAGCAGTTAGTCACATAAGTCGTAGTTAGTCACATATGTCATAGTTGGAAGCTGCATTAACATTTAATCACATAAGTCGTAGTTGGTCACATATGTCGTAGTTGGAATTTGCATATGTTTTAGTTGGTAGTTTCAGTAGCATTAGTTGGTCACAGAGGTCATAGTTGAAAGTTATAGTAGCAGTTAGCCTCATAAGTCGTAGTTGGTAGCTAATTTATAGTAATAACTAACTGGTCACATAGGTTATAGTTGATAGTTGCAAGAGCGCTTGTTGCTAGGAATTTGTTATAGTAACAAGTTACAGAAGTTGTAGTGGGAAGCTATATTAGTAACTGACCACATAAGTTATAGTTAGTAGTTGTAAGAACGACAGTTGGCCACAGAAGTCGTAGTGGGAAGCTAAAATAGTAAGTCGTCATATAAGCTGTAGTTGATAGCTGCAAGAGCATCTGTTGGTCACAGATGTCGTAGTGGAAAGTTGCAGTAGTAACTTACTTTATAGGTTTTTATTGGTAGTTGTAAGTGTCAGCTGTTTGCAGAGGCCGTAATGAGAAGCTGCAGTAGTAACTGACTACAGAGCCGTATTGGGAAGCTACAACAGTAATTGGCCACATATATCATAATTGATAGCTACCAGAGCATCAGTTGGTTAGAGAGGTTGTGGTTGGCAGTTGTAGTAGCAGTTAGCCACATATGTCATAATAAGAACCTACAATTGAAATTTGCCATAAAGGTCATAGTTGTTGCTACACTGGTTGGTCTCTGCAGCTTTTTCCTCATATTTATTACTTTATGCCAGAGACAACCCTTGTCTATATTCGACGTATTAAAAAACTTTAGGAGTCCGAAGAAAGTCGTATTCTGAATACGATTGTTGTGAGCAGTTGTCTCCAGGTGTTATCGTCATACTTCATTACAGCTTTATGTCCTACATCGTATTTGGATACTTTGTAAGGAAATAAAGTTTGTCAATGACGACGAGCAGGGTGCGGCTGGCGACGGTAGACAATGGCTAACAGGAGGTTATCGACAGCTATGGAGGCCATTAGTTATCGTCAGGTCTTCGGTCAAGAATAACACCAAAATTTGGTTTCTCTCTCTTCCCCAAGTGAAGAGAGTGAGTCTATTCATAGCACTGGGAGGGGCATTTTTGGTCATTTGGCTCATATTTATCCCACTTGATCATAGAAAGTTTTTTGATGATTTGAGGGTCTTAATGATCTCAAAATTAATAATGTTTAATCTTTTTGGATTTCTCTCATCGAGACACTTGATTTGATTATACACATGTAAAATTTGGAGTTTGTTTGCTCATCTAATCAATCATCTGAAGCCTCTAAATAGGCTTTAATGGCTTGATCTTGACTTGAATGAACTTTGATTTGGATCAGTTTTGGTATCAGGTTCGTCTTGTCAATATGACAAGATTGGCTTTAAACTTATTAAAATTGGCGTCTTGGATAATCTTTAATTTGAACCAGACTATTTCTTATTCAAAAAATTATCTCGAGATTCATGTTATAAAATTTATTAACAACGCATCAATGATATTTGTAGTTTCAAAATACAGCATTATTTAATGAATTATATTTTGATTCTTTTAATATTTGCCTAGTTTTAAAATGAATTCATAAACGTTAAATTTTATAGGTTGGTTTTCAATTGGATAAAAATTAAAATACGATGTTCCCTTCCCTAGTTTCTATCACAGGCACTGTGGAGGGAGTGCGGTGGTACGGGGCATCACAACACATGAAGAGATTGAGCCGCCAAAGCGGTTGATGGAAAAGAACTCAACAATGCAAGAAAGGTATTATTGCTGAACATATTATATACGGCGAAGCATATGTATGGCACTATATGTTAACCATATGTAATATTCTCTTCATGAATTTAGGGGTTCATAAAAAATGAGGCCTGTTTCTTTTTTTTTTTTTTTCTTTTTTGTTCTAGAGAGATTTCGTTTACTCATTCTGTGATCAGTTTTGTTGTAATGTTTTTATCAAATCATTGTTAACAAAATTCTATTTATTTATCATATTCATGTTTGTCTTTAGAGTACCATTTTCTCCTAAAACAAATTTTTGAACAGATTATCATTAAAAAAAAAAAAAAAACTGAACTTTAAAGCCTATGATTTTTAGGTTTTTCAAACTACTTGTCCAAAGGGCCAAAGCGGAAGGCAGTTCATGCCTCGTGTCATGAACTTTCTGCATCAATTTAAGTTGAGATTCATGATTAGGACCAGCTGTGAATATTTTCAATGTAACTTCAATTTTATTATGAACTATTTTTGAGACCTGCATAGTTGTTATGTTAATAAGAAATTATTTATTAAATTATAAGCTTATAAATACATAGTAACATTGCTAATCATATAGTATATTTTCAACATTTGGGTGATAAAATTATAGCAAGTGTTTCATAAGTTAAATTTTTATGAACATTTTGAAAATTCTTTACTTTAATCTATATTTATAGTATAAAATATTTGAAAAATTCTCAGATTTTCTTTAAATTTGTTGACTTTGAATATTTATCATTGAGAAATAATAAGTATATGTTCTTTACTCTTATATTTGATATTTTTGATGGACATGGATTAAATTAGTCATAATTAAAATAAAATGATTTTTTTTGTTATTTTAAAATGTCAAACCAAAATAAAGTTGAATTTTTTTTCCTTTTTTAATAATGCTTTGACTTAGTTTCTTATTATTAAGATTTTTATTTAAAAAAGCTCAGATTATATAAAAATATAAGAGCTCCTAATTTTAAGTAAAAGATCGTTATGCAATTTTTTTCCCTCATGGTATGAGTATTAGAACTTACGTGCCTTTAATCAAGAAATCAAGAAATCAAGAAATAGTAGTAGCATGATGGTTGTGTGAATCACCCATGAAATAGGATCTTTGCAACGTTCCAAAATTTCAAAATTTTCCAGATATGCTTCAGGATTTCTCGACATAGGGATGAAATTCGAACTTTGGCAGCGCATCGTTAGTATCAGTTCTTTGATCGGGAAGCAGATATCGTTCACGATTTCTCGACTTCGGAATCTACTATTCCCTAAATCTTTCAGGTTATTATCTCTTTCCATCATCCGTTGATTTCTCAGCCCGATTTTCCCTTCTTCACGACTTCCTTTTTCTTGATCCTCATGCTTTTTTTCTCCTCAGCTGGAGTAAACTTTTTTCTATCAGAGTGTTAAGGGACTTTAAATTCTTCCGGCGGAACTCCGGGAAGAACCCTACCACCGACGCAAACAACGAGAATCTTCCACTAGAGCAGACTGTTTCATCTGCATCTCAGCAGGATGCGGAATCCTCAAGACTTCCTTTTAGCGCCATTCAAGAAGCCGAGCGAAACCCTAGGTTCGGACTGGATCAAGAAACGCATTTTAGGAGAAAGAGCGAGAAACCCATTCCAAGAGCCAAGCAAAAGGGTCGGATCAGTTCTTCCAGTCACGCACGCAGGATAAATTGCCGGCGAGCAAGAGCAGGTCTGGATGGGTTCCGATTGTCGAACAGGCCGGATTGGCTTCTCCGGAGCGAAGGGAGTATTCGCTCCATCAGGAACAATTCCAGGTGCCGCCCCCACCACCTCTTATGGCAAACCATGCGCTGCGCTTCGGGAATGGTTACAGTGCTGCTACTCCTCGCTCTATAGCAACGGGTGGGAGAGCCTCATCGGTTCATTCTGGTACAAGCTCGACGCAAAGCACGCCCACCAAGAGTGTTTCTAAGCCCATGATCAATGGGGTTAGCAACTCTCGTGCTCCACAGTGTTGTGGAACTGTCAAGGCTATGAATTTTTTGGTATCATCTAAAGGGATACCATTGTCAACTGCACCTCCACCAGTTTATGCATCAGTTGAAGTACCACATTTTGAGCTCAAGGAGGATCCCTCCTTCTGGATGGATCACAATGTACAGGTATTTTTCTTGCCTCTTTTGATTAGCCACTTTTTTTTTTCTAATTTTTTTTTTTAGGAAAAGTTTTCTAGCTTTTTAAGCTGCAAGAAAACTAAAATATTAGTAGGAATTAGGATACTTGAATTATTGAAAATTGTCAATTGAGCTTCATTAGTTCTTTTTTGCATTACAGTTTCCTGGAATTTGATCAAAATTATTTTCTGTTCTCCATTGCTTGAAAGAGAAAATGCCTTTTCTATACAATGAGTTACTGATTGATTACAAATTGGATACAATACAAAACACAAAGCTAGTTACTGATTGCAAAATGGAGTTCTTAACTTTAATTTTCTTTCTCCTTTCAGGATCTTTGTTTGACTTCTCCTGAAAAAGTGTCTTGTTCATGTAGCACAAAGCATGTTGAAGAAGTTTTGTATCTAGAACAAGAGTTAGACAGACTGAAGACGATTATTGCAGTAGAGAAATCATCTCGCGTTGAGGCAGAAGAAAGAGCAATTCTTTCAGAAACTGAGCTAAGCATAACAAATGATAAGCTCCTGCTGATAAGTAAGAGATATGATGCAACAATAGACAAATTGAATGACACAAGGTCTGTCATTGAAGCCCTTGAATCCCAACAAATGCTTTCAAATAATGAACTTGAGGAACTGAGAGAGAATAACAATCAACTTGCGGATATCATGAAGATACAGGAGCAACAGATCTCCACAATGAAGAAAGAACTTGCCTACGAACTTCATCCATTTCTCTTTCACTAGGGTGAGATGCCTGGTCACTTTGATGCCTCATGTTCAGGTTCCAAGCTTTTTCTAGAGAAGCTTGCACTCTTTTCAGTTTATCCTGAAAGGGAGAAGAGCACTCACTTTCAGATATACCATTGTCATCTGCACCTCCACCAGTTTATGCATCAGTAGAAGTGCCACATTTTGAGCTCAAGGAGGATCCCTCCTTCTGGATGGATCACAATGTACAGGTACAAATCATTTTTCTTGCCTCATTTGAATAGCCACTTTTTTTTTTCTAATTTTTTGTTTTAGGAAAAGTTTTCTAGCTTTTTAAGCTGCAAGAAAACTAAAATAATAGTAGGAATTAGGATACTTGAATTATTGAAAATTGTCAATTGAGCTTCATTAGTTCTTTTTTGCATTACAGTTCCCTGGAATTTGATCAAAATTATTTTCTGTTCTCCATTGCTTGAAAGAGAAAATGCCTTTTCTATACAATGAGTTACTGATTGATTACAAATTGGATACAATACAAAACACAAAGCTAGTTACTGATTGCAAAATGGAGTTCTTAACTTTAATTTTCTTTCTCCTTTCAGGATCTTTGTTTGACTTCTCCTGAAAAAGTGTCTTGTTCATGTAGCACAAAGCATGTTGAAGAAGTTTTGTATCTAGAACAAGAGTTAGACAGACTGAAGACGATTATTGCAGTAGAGAAATCATCTCGCGTTGAGGCAGAAGAAAGAGCAATTCTTTCAGAAACTGAGCTAAGCATAACAAATGATAAGCTCCTGCTGATAAGTAAGAGATATGATGCAACAATAGACAAATTGAAGGACACAAGGTCTGTCATTGAAGCCCTTGAATCCCCCCACCACCTCTTATGGCAAACCATGCGCTGAACTTCGGGAATGGTTACAGTGCTGCTACTCCTCGCTCTATAGCAACGGGTGGGAGAGCCTCATCGGTTCATTCTGGTACAAGCTCGATGCAAAGCACGCCCACCAAGAGTGTTTCTAAGCCCATGATCAATGGGGTTAGCAACTCTCGTGCTCCACAGTGTGGTGGAACTGCCAAAACTATGAATTTTTCGGTATCATCTAAAAAGATACCATTGTCATCTGCACCTCCACCAGTTTATGCATCAGTAGAAGTGCCACATTTTGAGCTCAAGGAGGATCCCTCCTTCTGGATGGATCACAATGTACAGGTACAAATCATTTTTCTTGCCTCATTTGAATAGCCACTTTTTTTTTTCTAATTTTTTGTTTTAGGAAAAGTTTTCTAGCTTTTTAAGCTGCAAGAAAACTAAAATAATAGTAGGAATTAGGATACTTGAATTATTGAAAATTGTCAATTGAGCTTCATTAGTTCTTTTTTGCATTACAGTTCCCTGGAATTTGATCAAAATTATTTTCTGTTCTCCATTGCTTGAAAGAGAAAATGCATTTTCTATACAATGAGTTACTCATTGATTACAAATTAGATACAATACAAAACACAAAACTAGTTACTAATTGCAAAATGGAGTTCTTAACTTGAATTTTCTTTCTCTTTTCAGGATCTTTGTTTGACTTCTCCTGAAAAAGTGCCTTGTTCATGTAGCACAAAGCATGCTGAAGAAGTTTTGTATCTAGAACAAGAGTTAGACAGACTGAAGTCGATTATTGCAGTAGAGAAATCATCTCGCGTTGAGGCAGAAGAAAGAGCAATTCTTTCAGAAACTGAGCTAAGCATAACAAATGATAAGCTCCTGCTGATAAGTAAGAGATATGATGCAACAATAGACAAATTGAAGGACACAAGGTCTGTCATTGAAGCCCTTGAATCCTAACAAATGCTTTCGATTAATGAACTTGAGAAACTGAGAGAGAATAACATTCGATTTGCGGATACTGTGAAGATACAGGAGCAACATATCTCTACAATTAAGAAACAGCTTGCTTTGCGCATTGATGTTGGAAACAAAAAATCTATTATTGCTCATGAAATATTGAGAGGAGATTACTCTGAAAGTGAGTGTTCTTCTCCTTTTCAGGATAAACTGAAAAGAGTGCAAGCTTCTCTAGAAAAAGCTTGGAACCTGAACATGAGGTATCAAAGTGACCAGGCATCTCACCCTAGTGAAAGAGAAATGGATGAAGTTCGTAGGCAAGTTGAAGTTGAAACTGTTGAAGTTATTGTCTGCCTGCAAGAGGAGCTGACCACAATTAATCAAATAGTTGATGAATGCAACAAAAATGAACTGTTGGCCAAACAACGCTTAATGGATCTTGAAAAGGAGAAAAAGGAGCAAGATGATAAACTCTATTTGTTAACTCTAGAAAATAAGAAAATTTAAGGCTTGCCAAATTAACTAAAGAGAAAGTGCAGAATGCGAGTTCAATCATTGAACATTGGGAGCAACTAGCCATTGAAATTTCAGATCTTCTTGAGAACGGGAAGACGCAGCTTGATAATACCACTCATGAGGCAGCTTCTATTTCTGATATTTGCTCTCACAAAAGTTGGATCTGTGAGCAATTTGGAAAAGTTATTATTGGAATGTCTAATAGAGATTCCTTAATTAAAAACTACAGAAGAATTTGGAAGATGCTTGTTATGTAAGGCATGATATTGAGTCAAAATTGATGACCTTGAGAGGAGCAATACTGGCTATTACAGAAGCACAACAGCAAGAAAACTCTGACAAAGAAAGCAGAATTCTTCATTTAACTTCACTATTGGCCGAGAAAACATCTATCATATCTGAATTAGAAGACAAAGTTGAAGACGCTGTAAGAAAAGTTAGCAACGTTGAGATATGCGCTGCAATTTTTTTCATTATTGTGAAGAAATTATATAAGATAAATAATGTTCATCTTCAAACATTGGATGAGGCCAACTTGCAGCTTAGAGAATCTGAAAGTGTTATTCCGCAAAAAGAAGATATCATGCAAGGACATGCTTCTTTACTCTCTATTGAAGGCAAAGGATGTCAAGATCAAAGAGCACATGTAGAGCAAAATTATCAACAGACCAATTCTCTAGAGCACTGGAAACATGATTATTTAGATACCAGTTCGAAGAACAAGGAGGAAAACATCACAACTCCAGATTCTTCTTGTGGTTTTGTAGAAGTAAAGATGAAGCTTCGAGAAATTCAAATGCAAATGAGTGCACTGAAATCTTGTATGCATGAGTATGCTGATAACCAAGTAAGCTAATGCCCCTTTCCATAATAAACAAGCAAATCAACCTGGATCACTGCTTTTATCTTTTTTGTTATTTCTTTTATTTATGGCATTGATGGGTTTTTTTTTCTTTTTCAAGTAAATGAAAAACATTCTTAAAATTTTCTTACTTATATTGTGACAATGTTGCAGTCTAACATTGGATCTAGTGAAGATACTCACAATGATGAGGAAAAGAATTATGAAACTTATTACGTATTGACTTATTACATAACTTTTCTAATAAGTCAATATGTAAGATGTTTGTTATCATAACTTATTACAAATTTTCTTACTTCCCAACGTAGTGTCGTCCGCCTCGCATTCAGCCCCCCATTGATTCTCTCTCCCTACTCCTACCCTTTGCCCCTCTCCCAGCATTCGCTTCACTCTCTCTCCTTCATATACTCGTGAGATTTTGTTCTCTTTTTAATTCTCACAGTTTAAACTTTGCAATGTCGTTTTTCTATATAATAGTCAATGGAGTTATGTTGGTGCTTTAGTAGCTATTTATATCCACTTGTTACATATTGACTGATACTTATTTCACAGTTTTTATCTAAGATAGCAAAGTCCAAGATGAGATTTTGGTATTCATGCTTAAAAAGAACAAGACCTGCAATACATTAATAAGATAACATGTGATAACTTTACGTTTTCTGTTTTGTTCAGTATTCTGGTCATGTTTTTTTTAGTTTTGAGCTGTAACTTGTATGGGGTATAACATGAGTAATTGAGCCCCCAAAATAGTGATTCTTACTGCCCTTAGTTGGGTTTGTTGGCTAATAACATGAGGAATTATAGCTTATTGAACCATGCACTTCTCTGGTTGCTCAGCTTGTCCAGTGCAAATCAATAATATCAGAACTGAACTTGCATGCAGAGGCACAAGCAAGCGAATATAACCGGAAGGTACCCCCATCACTTTACCTTTTTTTCCAGCTAAATCCATGAAGGTTTTGGTACTTTGTGTGTTTATGTATTTTGCCAAAATCACAGAGTGAACTACCTTGCATTTACTTTTTTATCGAGAAAGGATTTGCAGGGAGATCATTTTGATCTCAGAGTTTATAAAAATGTCAATTTAATCCCAGACTATTTTAATATGGGTTGAAAATAATTTCTAGATAGGACTGCTTGACGTGGGACGTCCCCTCGTAGATGCGGGAAACTGGTGTGGGGAGATCATTTTGATCTCAGAGTTTATAAAAATGTCAATTTAATCCCAGACTATTTTAATATGGGTTGAAAATAATTTCTAGATAGGACTGCTTGACGTGGGACGTCCCCTCGTAGATGCGGGAAACTGGTGTGGGAACTTCCTGCCCAAATGAGGGAAAACAAGAGCCGACTGAACCAGATGGCATGGGTGCCAGTCCAGGGGGTCGGTCCAAACTTCCAAGTGGATCGAGCGGCCCAGGAGATCTTCCTTTTCACATCTCTCGCTTGGATCGAGCACTTAGAACTTCTTTTTCTACGTCTTCTTCGTTTGACAATATTTTTAGGGCTGATTTTTTAATATTTCTAAACTCCTCACCCCTTTCTTTCGTGTGGGAGTTTCCTTCTTTATCTCTTTCTTTTCTTCTTCGTGCAAGAGTCCATTTAGTTATTGTTCTCAGAGTCAGGAAGTAGTTTTTGCTGTGTGTTGATTTTAGATTCTTGTGTGGAGTCATTTTCACCGTTGTAGGTTGTATCTGAGGAGGCGTGGTGCTCCGACTATATCTTACTTCAAGGTGGTGTGATGTATCTTTCTCCCTTTTTGGCTATCCAACCCTTCTCCCTCTATTTAGTTATTGTTCTTAGAGTTGGGAAGTAATTTTGGCTGTGTTGAATTTAGATTCCTGTGTGGAGTCATTTTTCCCTTTGTGGGCTGTATCCGAAGAGGTGGTTGTGCTCCGGCTATATGCTGCTCTAAGGTGGTGATGTATCCTCCTTCTTTGTTGGCTATCCAGCCCTCCTCTTTCCCCATAGCCTCCAGTCACTCCTAATCCCTTTCCCCAGCCTCCCTGCATTTTACCTTGTTGTCTCTGCAATTCTGCACCGTCCCCTCGCTGCCATCAACATTCCCTTGCTGCCACCATCCTTGCCAACCATCCCGATCCACCTAACCCGACCTCCACCGCCTTTAGGATGCACTTTTGAAGTGTTCGTTTGTGTCATCCTATGTGTCGATGATGTTATTCTCAGTTTGTGTGTGTATAACTCTATCCTTATATCAATAAAAGTTTACTTATGTGTTTAATTTATGGTGGTGATGTATGTTTAATTTAGATTCCGAGGTGGTGGTTGAATTTAGATTCCTGTGTTGAGTCATTTTTCCCTTTGTGGGTTGTATCTGAGGAGGTGGTTGTGCTCCGGTTATATGCTGCTCCATGGTGGTGATGTATCCTCCTCCTTTGTTGGCTATCCAGTCCTCCTCTTCCCCATAGCCTCCGGTCACTCCTAATCCTTTTCCCCAACCTCTATCGCTCCATCCTCCTACATTTCACCTTGTTATCTCTGCAATTCTGCACCGCCCGCTCGCTACCATCAGCACTCCCTTGCTGCCACCACCCTTGCCAACCATCCCGATCCACCTAACCCGACCTTCACCGCCTTTAGGATGCACTTTTGAAGTGTTCGTTTGTGTCATCCTATGTGTCAGTGATGTTATTTTCAGTTTGTGTGTGTGTAACCCTATCCTTATATTAATAAAAGTTTACTTGCATGTTTAATTTATGGTTTGGGGCTTTCTCTTCCTGTATCACTATTTTAGCTCTAATTTAAAGAGTTTGGGGATTAATTGGGCACTTAAACTCTGGGATTAAAATAAACCCATGTAAAAGTTAAGGGATACTAGTTTAACACTTCTTTATTGTCTTTGATAAGTCCTCTTCCATATGCAGTTTAAAGAGTTGGAGGCGATGGCATTCCAACTCAAAACTGAGCTCGTAATCTCCAACACTGCAAATCCAACATTAACGAAATCTGAAAAAGGCGCAGCAAAAAGTAGAGGCTCTGGTTCTCCTTTTAAATGTATAGTGGGACTAGCACAGCAAATCAACACCGAGAAGGATGAAGAGTTGACTGTGGCAAGATGCAAGGTTGAAGAACTCGAAGCTTTAGCTGCAAGCCGACAAAACCAGGTACCGCTCAGTTATTTGTAATTTGTGTTTTTACACCCGACTTATTTAGCTATTCCCAGTAATTTGTGTTTTTAGTTGCTGGTTTTTGTTTATTACCACCAGATTTTTATGTTGAATATACGCTTAGCAGCAGCTGAGAGCATGACCCATGATGTTCTTCGAGATTTACTGGGAATCAAGTTGGATATGACAAAATACGCAGTGAGATCAATCTTTAATTGAATTATGTAAATAATCCTTTTTCTGTAAACAATCCTTTTTTGCGTCTGGTTTTAGTTTTCCATGTTTGTTGAATCATTTTTATTTTATTATGCTGCTGTAGAAGATGAATGGAGGATCTCATTCAGATGATTCAATAAAAGAAAAGGTTTGTGCGCTGGCGCTTTTTTATACAAAACGAAAAAATGTATATTTTATTCTTATGTTAAATATTTTACTTTTAGAAGGGTAACTTTGAGAAGGATAAGGAGTTGGGAGAGCTGAAAAGGAAAGTTGATGAATTTGTTGAAGAGAGAAAAAGGTGAACTCTTTAGCACATCTTGCCATCGTGACTGACTGAGAATAAAGTTTGTTTTTGCATATTTTAGTTTGCTTGAAGAAATAAATAGAAGTCACAGAGAATTAATTGCGGCTCAAATTTGGTTGGGGAAGCTCGAGGAGAATGAGGAATTTTTATCTACTGAAAATGAACTATTGAAGGTTCTACTCCATCATCTTTTGTTTTTTTTTAATGATTTTAATTGTTTAATCTTTACATTTCTCATTCTCCACAACATGCAATACTTTTTGAATGTTTTGTAGGCTGATAATGCCAAATTGTCATGGAACTTGAGGAGGAATTAGAAAAAATTTCTATTCTATTGGATATGCAACCTGCTAAATATGCAATAACCCACTCCATGCTAAGGGTGAGTTTATTGGAATTTTTGAACTTTGTTGGATAACATATTCTGATATTAATATATTTATCTCCTCTTTTTGCATTAGCCAATCCCATCTTTATTTTGTTTTGTTTTTTTTTTTTTTTGTATTTTTGGATAAAAGAGGCTTTGTTCCTGAGTCTCTCTCTTATCAATGTAGTTTGGCAAGATCTTTATTTAGTGATCGAATTCATTTTAGATTTTTTTTTTGTTAAATAGTGTATTATTATTAATACTGTATTTGATTACTTTTATAAAAATTTAAAATGAAATTAAATGATGCCATGCAAATTTACTTGTCTACATTTGCAGGAGCTGAAGCAGCGCCACTGATGTTTTTAGTCATGGAGAGGCTCTAACCTCTATATATATATAATCTTGCTGCTGTACTAATTTCTCATTAGACTCTTAGCTGCCAAAGAGATTTCTAATAAATAATCACTCATTGGCCTATCGCAAATATTGAGTTTTATGGCCAATTTTTGGTCTTAGATTTGTTGATTTCTTCCTTTTTATTGGTGTTTTTTGGGAGGCAAATTTTTTATCAAATTATGTAAAGAGCAGATTATTGAAAAAATGTAAAGCTTCATTTCATCTCATGATGATCTTCATGTTAATTAATTCTCTATGTTTCTGACAATTGTAATAATCCTGTGCAAAGAAGAGTAAACTACTCTTTAATCGATTGGGCTCTGGATCTCCTGATTCTTCTTCTTGTGATGGGTATAATTTTTAAGCATTTTATCAAGAGATAGAACCCCATACCTTGGAGTTATAATTATTTTATAATCATTTTAGGAGTTTATTGCAATTATTTCTTCACTAATTTAATCGGGACATGCATCATAGGGCTGTCAAAAATTGATTTAACATGTCAACTAAACCCAACCTAACTCAAAAAATCAATCTTCGGGTTGACCCGAATAAATTTTGAGTCGGGTACAGATTAAAAATTTTAACCTGTTTAATTTTTCTAGTTGGGTTTGTGTTGACCTGCTAACTCGAAATTGACTTGAAATAGAGCCGTCAACCCGGTTTTGACTCGAATAATTGTTATTCCTTATATTAAACGAGATATGAGTTTGGATTGGCGGGTTGAAGGTGAGTTGTGTTCGGGATGAACTTTTTGACTCGTATAATACATGGGTTTGGTTTGGGCCAAGCTATTTTGGCTGGAGTCAATTTTTTGGTCAAATGTGAACATGACTCGCAAACCCAACTTCATACTTCTAATGCATCCTTCGTTACTCTAAAAAGACAATCTAGCGTACAAGCAATAATTTAGTGGTTTTTATGAGACTTAAATTTATGATTTTTTTTTATTTTAATTTATAATATAGTTGTAAGT